CCTTGAGATTTATAAATGGTCAAGGTGTATGCCAATTGAACTGGAAATTGACGTCATGTCATTCGGAAAGGCATTTCTGCAGAAGACGAAGTCAATGATATCCTTGGTATAAATGCCAAATTGCCAAACTTCTCTCCAGTTAAGATTCGAGCTTCAATTATGCGAGTTTCACACCTTGATACCATCAATCTTGTGCCATTACATAGTCCATCTTTTGATGTAATGTTTCTTAATAACATTATAGGACAACCCACTTTCAACTCTACCTTAAAAGCTGGTAGCCCAGGAGGATCCAATGAATTTAAAAACTCATTAGGATATCAATTTGTAATGGAAGGATCAATTTCATCATCTTCAGCCATCTTATCTACAGCAAGATACGTATATGTATTCCTTGGAAAAATATTTAACGCAACAATATTGATAGGACTGATATCATCATTTCTTGCAGAAAGAATTGTACATTCCGTTAAGAAAGATGGGGTTGATGTATCTACCACATCCAACTATGGATAAATTGCTGAGAGTAATTCCTTTAGATCTTGGCATTTGTGTATTATTGATGGAATTTTAATGATTTCTTGCAGATTGGTTCCAACCTAATAAATAAAATAAAAGAAATTAAAAAAAAATGGTATAATCAAAGTATCCTCAAATGGTATAATCAAAGTTCGAATGAGTAAATAGCATTTCCAAGGTTTGCATGATTCAAGCGCATATTCAAATCTTAAGATAAAACATGTAGATCCTTCCACAAAATAGAGTGTCTCAATGATGCATTCACAATTTGCTCACGAACTCATTTGGTTATAACTGGTAAGATTTGTCGAAAGTGTCACTCCCCGAAATAAATCAACATGAATCCCCAAATGAACAAACATTCACTATACAATGACAATAACTCCTCCATCTTCATATATATAATAAATGGGTTTAAAACAAGGTTCCACATGCAGTATACATTCACAACACAAAAGAATATATGAATCTATAGCATGTGCAACATTTAGTCTCAAAACAATAGAATGCCCTTAAGGGCTTACATCTTCCAAGGCATAAGCCTGGCTACACAAAAATGGTTTTTACAACCCATACACATTAGCCCTTGGCTCACAAAAGAATTACACAAAATAAAAGAGCTATGTACTCTTCTCAAACAATATCCATGCCCTTAGTTTGGTAGGATCGCCACATCTTTACCTGCACCAAATCCCATAGGGGTGAGCATAAAGCCCAGTAGAAAATTCTCACAAAGTATATACAGTTATGCCATTCCAATGAAAAATGCAAATGTCAATGACATGCCATGCACTTTTTATAGCAAATCCAATACATGCTCTTTAGTAGATCATCATCTTTAAATAAAATTTGTAATCTCAACTTATTTCAAAACTTCCAATTTTTATCAATAGGGGCGGTAAATACGACACTGGTAATCCCTAGGCTAGTGTCTGCAAGTAGACTCTGCAAATACTACTAAATTGTCACTTTTATCGGTATTAATTGGAAGGCTCAACACCTATCCGTGCGGGTTTCTGGTCTTTCACCAAGGACACTCAAGCCAACTTATCAATTTCAACTACACCCCCTATCCGGACATACCACGTATTTACCCCATTCACATTGCCATAGTTCTCATTTCAATAAAAATGTGTTTTTCTTGAAATAAATGTTTTCATCCAAAATTCACAATGCACAATGATAATAACATGAGTAAATTTGTAATGCAAGGATTTTTTATACTTCACAACATTTCCATTTCAATATCTCCACCATAATGTCCACAATCTCATTTCCCATTACCTCTTTTCAATGCCCTTCCTCAAGATAACCATATGTTATCTACACTTAGCCACAATTTCACTTTTCACAATCCTTAGCAATAGAGTTTCATCAAGATTTCATATAATGTTTTCAAACATTAACTCTCCATGTTTATAGTTTTCACAATTTCATCATACACAACACTTAACATGTTACACATAGATGTTTCCATGCATTCAACAACAAATTTAAATATAGGTCCACCCTTCTTTTGTCAAGAAAATTACCATTTCTTTATGCCACATTAGAAAAATCCATACTAATTGACTCATCTAAACACAAGAAAAAAAGAATCACATAATTGTTCCCATGTTTTCTAAAAACCCCCAATTTTTAGGGTTTTCATCAAAACCCAATAATCCTCCCATCCCATGGTGAAACCCAATCAAAACTATATTTTTGTCAAATTTAGCATAAATAAGATTCTTATAGATAAAAAGAAGTTGAGTGTCACGCCCTCAAAATAAACCCATAATAACCATAACATTAACATGCATATAAAAGAAAACGAATCATTTGAGTTATTCATCAGAGTAGTCTTATTTGAAAGACATCACATGTAACATCCTGCAGCATCAAAATAAATGCCCTAAGGGCTTACATCTTTCCAAGCTAACACTTGGACACAAAAAGGATGAGTACTAACTCATTTACAAGTTAAGCCCTAGGCTTAAATGTTTACATGAAATCTCAAAAATAACAAAATAAAACATATAACTAAAGACAAGTCTTCACAATCCCAAACATCAAATCCTTCCAGGCTAAGTCCGTGGAGGTAGCTTATCACCTGAACCTGAAAATGATGTTCCCATAAAGGGTGAGCCACAGCCCAGTAGAAAAATACTAAACCAAATATAAGCATAGAATAAAGCTATAGCATTCAATAGATGGTTAACCAAGATAATCAATTACATCATTTTACAGTCTCATGACAATATTGTCTAAGACACGTTTTACTTTCCAACTTTATCAATATGGCTCAGAACCTGGCCAAACTTACAACAGTGAACTATATATATTATATTCACATTCTTCCAATGTCAACAAACAGATGAGACTCAGGCTCAAAACAAACACTTCATACTTCCAGTTTGATACACATTTTAGTGCTGTATCAAATAAAACACTTCAATATAAACAAGCACACATAAAAGTGATGCTAATGGAGTCCATCCCCTATCTCCTCCCAAACAAAATCCGGTTTAGAGGTCCATCCCCTATCTTCCCCTAAACCGTGGAGTACATCCCCTATCTCCTCCCAAACAATAATCCGGTTTAGAGGTCCATCCCCTATCTTCCCCTAAACCGTGGAGTACATCCCCTATCTCCTCCCAAACAATAATCCGGTTTAGAGGTCCATCCCCTATCTTCCCCTAAACCGTGGAGTACATCCCCTATCTCCTCCCAAACAATAATCCGGTTTAGAGGTCCATCCCCTATCTTCCCCTAAACCGTGGAGTACATCCCCTATCTCCTCCCAAACAATAATCCGGTTTAGAGGTCCATCCCCTATCTTCCCCTAAACCGTGGAGTACATCCCCTATCTCCTCCCAAACAATAATCCGGTTTAGAGGTCCATCCCCTATCTTCCCCTAAACCGTGGAGTACATCCCCTATCTCCTCCCAAACAATAATCCGGTTTAGAGGTCCATCCCCTATCTTCCCCTAAACCGTGGAGTACATCCCCTATCTCCTCCCAAACAATAATCCGGTTTAGAGGTCCATCCCCTATCTTCCCCTAAACCGTGGAGTACATCCCCTATCTCCTCCCAAACAATAATCCGGTTTAGAGGTCCATCCGGTAGAAATACACTCTAAGTAGATCAAACCTAAGAGAGAAGGTGTGTAGGGAGAGGGAGAAGACGGTTCTAGGGTTTTAAAATAAAAAAGGAGATGAAAAATGATCCTGAAAGTCGGATCTCGGATTTTTACACCAATCGCCCCGCTCGAGCGTGGAAACCCCCGCTCGAGCGCCACTCACAGACTCCCGCTCGAGCGGCCAAACTCCCGCTCGAGTGGCGGATGCACACTCCCAGAAGTTTTGCAGACAGGTCCCCGCTCGAGCGCCCAACTCCCCGCTCGAGCGGCTAACACTACACAGGACATACTGGATGGGTGTATTCCCCGCTCGAGCGTCCAAACCCCCGCTCGAGCGGACAAGCCAAAATCTGGGCAACTAGACTTGGTTCCTAAACTCAACCAACCTGCTCCAAATCTTCCCAACACAACCTAAGACTCAAAATAAGAAAATAATGAATGACAACAACAATTATACAATGACGGAATCTACGGAACCTAAGTCCGGATACAAAAATCAAATGGGAAAAGACCGGGGTCGCTATATTGAGATTTAAAACCCCTCTTTGAAAAACCCTTTTCTCTCTCTTCATTTAGTGCAAGATTAAAATCAACACAACAACCTCATGGAAGCTTTAAAATCAAAATATATGAAGCAAAACATGTATATATGACTCAAGAATTCCCTACCTCAATGATTGATGGAGAAATGGAGTAGAAACCCTAGGATTCAAGGAAGAGAGGAAGCTTAATCTCAACCACCACAAGTGGAACTCCAGCTCTAGATCTTCAAGGTTGTGAGAGATAATGATGATGATCAAACCCAATAGAGCAAGGATCAAAGGTTCTTGATGCTTTGGTTAGGGTTTTTAAAGAGAAAGAGGAGGGAAAAATGTTTTTAGAGAGAGAGAGAGAGAGATGTTAGAATGAGATACAAACAGCCCCAAAAATGTAAAAAACAAAAAAAAACGGAGTTTTCGGATCTGCCCCGCCCCGCACGTACGGCTACCCTCTCCCGCACATGCGGCACTGATCGTACACATGCGGCTAGTCCCGCACATGCCCTCTGCACTTGTAATTTAAGCAGAATGCAACACACTTGGACTCCTCTCTTCCCGCATGTGCGGCTTGGCCTCCTGCACGTGCGGCCCCAACCCCGCATGTGCGGCCCCAGCCCAGTGGCCCAGAATTTCCTGATTTGACTCTCGGCGCTCCGGATCCAACCGTGCATCCTCCGGATTAGGTGAAATTTCTCAATAAACAAGACACGAATAAGAACTAAATCTCAAGGAGTATTTCTGGATACCTCAAACTCACTAAGTGCGAGAAGAAAGCAGAGTGAGGATGGAAGAAAAGAAAAGGAAAACAAGACCCGGTCGTCACAAAAAGTCTCCACCAAGAACAATAGTGATACCCCCGAATGGCTTTTCACAATCACAAATATCTCGAAGTGTGCGATCAATTGCCTCAACACAATGTCTATGTTGCATAGGAACTTCATCCCAAATTATGAGTTTTGTTTCTCTAAACAATTCAGCCTGTAATGATTGCTTGCTAAACGCACAAACTGAATTTTCCAAGACATCCAATGGAATGGAAAATGTTGAATGTGCAGTGCGACCTCCTGCTAATAGCAATGATGCAATTCTAGATGAAGCCACGGTAACAACAATATAGCCAAGGCTGCGACATTTTAATGCAATTGTATTGTACAAAAATGTTTTCCCCGTTCCGGCACCCCCATTCAAAAAGAAAATAGTCCATTTACTTTCAAAGACTGAAGAAGTGATTGCGTTATAAGCATTTCATTGTCCATTATTGAGGCGATCAATAGTAATTTTCACATATGTCTGTTGTGCCTCATTTTGTAGTTGTTAATGTTCGAATATCAATCGGTTACCAACTGTTGCACTCCAATTTGTTGTAGGTTGTGGCAATGGCAGGAAGTCAATTAAACTCTTTCCTGATTCTTGAAGCATTTGATTCAAAAGATACAAACCATAATCTTCAATTTGAGCCTCAGTTGGGTTAGAAATGGCAAATAATGTACGAAGCTTATGTGCAAGATCATCACAGATATGCATTGAAAATTGATTCCATAACGCATGTGGTTGTAGTGGAAAACATTGGGTCAGAATAATACAAAAAAATCTCCTCAATTGATATCCGATTTTCATAACTGCAGCCTTTTTCAGGCACTGTATCCATTCTTCATCATCTTCTAAGAGTCCTCTTGCAACACATGCTGATTTAAATGTCTCATGCAAAACATTGTTAATTGTACGAAACATTGAAACGATATTGGCCCTTTGACAACAATTAATAACAAACGCAGATAAAATCTTTCACCACAGTTAGGGCTAGCAAAGTACATTCTACCAATTGCACATCCATGTTCTCTTGGTTTCCATCTATGTTCTGACTTGAGCCAAACAAAATGTTGTGGAAATTCTTGATAAATGAATTGGCATTCATTTTCATTGGAAGCATAATAATAAAAAAGACTAGTAAGAGTCGATTTTTGTTGCGCAGCTCTAGAAAGAATCATTTCCAATGAGTCATTAGGATTGAAAAGAACACGATGCATTCTAGGTAGATGAAGTGCCAAGCAAACAACTGTTGGCATCTCTGCATGCAAATGATGACTGAATATTCGCCAAGCAGCTTTTGGTGGTCCAATATACCTCGCATCAAGATATTGTTGGATCTCATTAATCAATCCCAAAACCATTGTTGTGCGATCATAACCCTTGTCAATATACTTATGTATATACTTAACATATCTCACTCCAACACAAACTTTTACATTTATATGACAGTTGAACCATTTAGAAAGATATGCATTGTATGGTACCATATCCCTGTTATCAACTTCCTATCCTCTTACAGTATATACTTGACCACTATTGTGACGACAATAGATTGGATATCTATCTTGGTCCATAGTTGTTGATTCTGCAAAGGCTCGAGGGTATTTCTTAGTACATCTACCATTTTCCATACATGGTGCTTAGGGATTTCGAGCACCACATGATCCATGTACCATGCAACACTTGACAGTTTCAAAAAGTGTAGGTTGGATCTAGAAATTTTGCACAAACTAATTTGTCTATTTGAGCACATGTTCAAATTTTGTCTGGACCTTTAAGAAAGAGAAGCGCATGCATATGTGGTAGGCCTCATTTTTGGAATTCAATTGTAAAAACATGTGTAACTTTTTTACCGAACACTTTGTTTGCCTCTATCTCCTTCATCAAACACTTTCTTTTTAGCTCAAAAACACGGGCAATCAAATTAGGACGATCAATATCTTTTTGGTGTGGTAATAATGCTGAAGTAATTTCTGGCCAATTGGGATTTGCAGTCATGGTGAGAAAAATATATGGGTGCTGGTTGCATCGCGTGATAGCCACTGAATCTTGAAATATTTCACACATATGTCTAGGACTACCAATAAATGAAGATGGAAAAATAAACCTTTGACCAATTTGATTAGGTCCCAAGTCATCTAGATCAATATTGCTTAAATCTTGGTAAAGTTCAGACCAAATTTTTCTTTGATTAAGCTTGTAGTACGTCAACCGATTTTGCTCAGTTGCAACCCAAGCATCTACCAAAAATTCTTGGAATAGTTTTCCACCTCTCAAAATTTTTGAATACTCTGTAGGTCGCTCAAACAAACGATAACTATAAAAATCCATTTGAGTAAGTCGATCAGTTGAATGCCAATCATGTTTAACGTCCCACAATTTTAACTCAAGTTCCTATTCAAGCTCACCATACGGGAATAATAAAACATAATGCAATGGAAAATACACTGAGTGACATTCATTAATTTGCATCAATTCATTATTTCCCTGTAAATGTAAAACAACATCTCTCATTCCAGCAACCTCAGTTCCATCACCTGGTATTACAATTGTAATCTCATCAGCAGTTGGTAGGTTATACCGTTGTTGGTCTGTTGCTGAACTGTAGTGCAGATGAGCAGGTAGATTTTGTCCAGTGAAGGCTAATTGATTCAAAATTGCATGAGCCTGGCGAAATTTGTCTACAAATGCATTAACTTGCAACAAACTATCTTCAATAGTTTTGAGAACATCCCTTCGTAAGTGAGGATTTCTATGATTTCGAACTTCTAAAGCTGAATCAGGATCATAAATGTACAACTGAGCATAAGTCGCATCCTGACCTAGCTGTGGTAGAAGTGATCCTGCTCGATGTCGCAATTCCCCATGGATAATAAATGGTTTAGGGCCGCTTCCCTTTAGTACTCTTGGATCCAATGTAGCACCAAGACTTGTAAAAGCATTGGCTGCATTGTATACTCGAGTATAATGTCGAAACAATCTTGCTTTATCATCATCCTCGTCATATAATGCTTGAAGCGGTGGAGGGGGTGTCATAAGCAGAGGTAGCCTAGTCTTTCCTTTTAAACAACAAGTTTCAAATAGGAGATGCTTTCGAGATGATTGTGCTAATTTTTCGTCCATCCAATGTAAGGCTGAACAGTAAGGACATAACACATCCATCTTGCCAAGAGAATGACGACATGAATTCATGTGTGATTGAGTATTAATCGTCGTACTTATAGTCATATCTTCTAATTCATCAACTATACATAGATCCTCTTGAAGAAATGTGACTGTAGAATTAGGCCTACAAATATTTGTTGTGCATACATTAAAATTTATACACATGTAAAAGTAAGAGTATTATTTAAAGAATTAAACATGTTTTACCAATTCCATGCTAAAGATGTACTTTCCATCGAGAACGAACATGTGGATGCATGTGTAACCATTGTTCGTTTTTGTGCCAACAAAGTATCCGCAAGTGTTTTTGTACCATGTTCTAGGCAAGCGTAACTGCGACGACTCAGTGTTAATAAAGGAAAGTATTTAACATATGCTCCTAATCTCTCTTGTTCTTGTCGCAAGCGTTGTCCCGATTGATATGCAGAGCATGCATTTTCATTTCTTTCATGTTCTCGTCGTGCACATTGAGCTAATACATCTCTTGATATAACATAACCATTGGGTCCCTAAAATATGAATATTAAATCATTGGATGCCTAAAATGCAAATATTATCAAGTACCATTTTCCACTGTCCAAAGAAAACACCATTTTCTATTTTTATATCCCCTCTTCCAAAAAAATGCATTATACTCTTGCCAATGACTACCCATAGTTTTATAATAATAATAATAATAAATTGTGTGGTTTTGTTACACTAATGAACAAATGTTCGACCAACTTATGAGAATAATAAACGTTTGACCAGTAGATTGCATGGTTTTGTAATAGTAATGAACAAATGTTCGATCAGCAGATGAGCTTCATAAAGTATCCCCATTTTCTTGTAGGGCCCATGCACTTATAGGAGACACTATATATTCCTTTCTCACTATATATTCCTTCATAAAGTAACCCCTATATATTTCTTTCTTCCTAAGAATATACAGGAGACACTAAAAAATGTGCATAGTTTCAAAAATAAAATACAATTATGGCTAAATAAAATACAATATATGAAGATACAAAAATAAAAAATAGAAAAACTCTACAAAAATCAGTAACAACCATACCGCTAAACATGCATTTTCCTTTCGCTTGCCCTTGCAATCAGTCACCTTTGTCATTTATAATCTATATCATAAATTGTGTGATTTTGTTATACAAACAAACAAATGTTCGGCCAACTTACGAAGTTCATAAAGTATCCCCATTCACGTAGTTGGAAAAAAAAATTTTGTTGCCCATTTTCTCCCTCCTCTCTTTATCTCTTTATCTCAAAATTTCCGTGCACTTACATTGAAAAGTGGTGCAGATTTCCACATATATACAGGAGATACTTAAAAAAGTGCACAGTTTAAAAGATAAAAATACAATTATGGTTTAAAATAACAATTGGACATGCATTTTCAAAAACACTCTACAATTATGGCTTAAAATACAAACATATGAAAACTAACAATTTAAAATTAAAAAAAAAAAAAACACTCTACAAAAACCAGTAAGAACTATACCGCTAGACATGCATTTTCCTTTCCCTTGCCCTTGGAAGCATAAGACACCTTTTCTTTTCCCTTCGACATTGCCTGTGCATTTTCCTTTTCCGTTGCATTTAAAAAATAACAAAAGTCTAAGAAATAACCAAAAGTATAAGAAATAAAAATTTAAAAAAATGATAAGAAAATGATTTTTGGGCTGACCTTAGAAATACGAACGACATTGAAATCATGCTCATCACGAATCACTACACCAACATTTCTTCGTTGAAGAAACTGAAACTATACATACAAAAACAAATAAGTAGCTAATATGTACACAATGAAATTTTATAAGACGATGAGTAAAGGGAACGAATATTACAGTTTGTTGTAATACATAATACAAAAGTTAACCTATAAAGGTTTTGGAATACATAGTTTATGAAAATACAAAAGTTATTTTAATTCACCAAGTGAAACCAAACGAAGCCATCAATAGATACTTAAATGGAATCAAACCTATAAATGGCTTAAGCTTTGTTGAATTTAATTGAACTAAAAGAGGTTTAAATGGAACTGCAAAATTTATAAAGTTAATTCATATGACAAACTAATAAAAAATCATCAATCATTTTGAAATCCATAGTTAATTCATATGATAAAATATCTCATTCAAGGAATTAATAAAAAATCACACTAAAAAAAAAATTCACACATATGACAAACTAATAACCCAACAATCATTTTCTGCCACCAAAATGAGTTGTATTTCCAAGAATGTATTTATTAAAATTAACAAAAAGATTTGCAATAAATCCACAGTTTGAAAATAATAATTCGATGCCAAACATTTTCAGGTATTGGTAACACAATCTGAATCCAAACAACATCAACAGAAAGTAGTAATGAATCTTACTATTTTACTTACAAATTAATAAATATTAAAATTGTCCAATATGCCACATCATCCCAACTTGGTAAAGCATGCAAATGAGTATAAACACGTGTAGTAATAAAGTCAACAAATATATATTGTTGCACCTGAAGTGGACAAACTCAATCTCACAATTTCAGAAGCTATGATATTATCCTCTATAATTTAATAAAATCAAATTCAACCACCCCAATCTCACAATTTCAGAATCTATGAAATTACCCACTATTTTTTTCAATAATCAAACACCCAGAAAATCCAAAAACTAGCAAAGTAAGGACCAAAAAAAGTATAAAAAAAAAAGGGGGGGGCATATTTGACTATCAAAGCCTATTGAAAGTTTATTTAGAAAAGTTGAGAGCTCCATCCACTAAACAGCAAGTTATAGACGGTAAAGGATAACTCAAAACTTAAAATTATATTTGAGACCCATTATCCGAAACATATTGAACACATTATATTTGAAACACATTATCATAAAATTAAATCTCACTATATCTCATCACATTTAGACTGTAAATCTATATAAATATAACAAATGGTTGAAAATTTTAGAGGTTGATGCAGCTTAATATTGCTAAAACCTAAAATACAAAAGTGAACTTAACTAACCAAGTCAAACCGAACGAAGCAATCAATAGATACTTAACATATCGATGGCTCCTACATTATTGTTAGGAATCAAACATATTGATGGCTTAAGCTCTACTGAATTTTATTGAAGCTCATTCAAGGAATTAATAAAAAATCATATAGATACGCAGATGCCAAACTAATAACCTACCAATCATTTTCCGCTACCAAATTTTACTAAAATTAAACAATTTATCAAAATGAGTTGTGTTTCCAATGGAAACTATCAATAAAACACATTAATCACTTAGTACTTTGCTTCCAAGAATCTATTTATTAAAATTAACAAATAACAAAAGCTTTGCACATCTACATAGTTTTAAAATAATAATTTCACTCCAAACATTAAATAAATAAAAAATAAATCAGTCTGTATGACGACATTTTCAGGGATTGGTAATACAATTTGACTCCAAATAACAACAAAAGAAAATATTAATGAATGTTACCATTTTTCTTAGCAAAGGGTGCAAATGAGTAGACATATATGTATTAGCAAAAGGGTGGAAATATATACTTCTACACCTAAAGTGGACAAAGTGAACCACTAAAGTGGTCAACCACTAAAATGTCTCCAAGATATAACTAAGCTAACCTTTGTTTCACAAAAGATAGATATGATAAAGAAATATTTCAATGTATATAAGAAAATAACCTTAAAAGATATAAGAATTGACTTTCCAAGATTGTTTCATTTTGGGGAGAAAAAACAAAAAAGAAGCAGAAAAGATAAAAAATAAATTGGTTTACTTAAATTTTTTTGTTTCCATAACCTTAATTTATTTTTTGCTTCCTCAATTTAAGAAAAGTTATGATACACTGCTTTAGGCATTGATGAGGCAATTGAAACCATATAAATCCCCAAAGATATCTTATGTTTAGCATAGGAAAACGTCTTAACCATGAACAACAATAAATAAAGTCAATCCCAAAAGATATGTTATATTTACCATAGGTCTTAATGGCACTTCCAAACACAATCAGACTCAAATCAAAATTGGGTGAATTCCTGTAGCGAAGCTAATTAATTATAGAACTTGAGATCCAACTCATGCTATCTAAGACCTGGAACACATCTTATAGAAAATGTAAGAACTAGAACACATCTAAGACATGAAACAAACAATAGAAACCAATACA